GTCTTGGTCTTGGCAACACACTGCAACCCTCACTCATCGCTGTTCAGGCGGGGGTAGAGCGCAAACACATGGCTGTCGTGACCTCGACGCGCAACTTCGTACGCAATCTTGGCGGCACCCTTGGCCTCGCGATCTCAGGCACTGTAATCAACAACGCGGTTCGATCATCACTGGTTCCATACGGGCTTTCGAGGCCAGAAATCCGGCTGTTGCTGGATTCGCCAGACATGTTTCGGGAGTCGGTCGGCCAAGAGCGTACCGATCTCGTCAGAGCCGCACTTGCAGCAGCGTATCAGCAGGGCTTCCGGATTGTTTTCATCGTTGGCGCAGTGCTTAATGCGCTCGCATTTGTCGCTGCTTGGTTCCTGATGCCTCAGGTGGAGTTGAGCAGAAAGGACGATGCCCAACTGAAAGAGGAAGGCAAGAAGAGAGATGAGGAAAAGCGCGGCACAGCTTCCCCTGCATAAAAGTTTTGATCAGGAAGACCGGAGGCAACGGCGAGACGCGTGATACCACACGATGAGCCAATTTTCGGACATCAAAGATCCAAAAACGATTGCAACTACCGACGAAGCAGGATGGATGCCGGGTAAATAATAGATTACCATCCATAGAGTCATGATTACTATACACCCTAGCAAATCGGCCCCACATCGAAGAAGTACACTAATGCCCCGCGCAGTTACTATAAGTGCTTGTTTCATTGTCAAGCATAGATAGTAACCGAGTAACGAAGCTTAATTGCACATTAATTCTATAATGTCGTTCAAAACCATAGTACTATATCAGTCGAGCATTCCTCCAAACATGAGTAGCATCATGATATCTCATTGAGACTATCGACAACCGCAAGCATGCTCACCAGTTTTCTCATCGCTCTCGCACTGACTGCAACCGGTCTCTCACAAGCACCAGAAGGCTACCGTTCGGTGTACATAACATCGGCGCAAGATACCAAATTCGTCGTTGTACCGAAGTCACGAGCCGCAGGGGCAACACTCGTGGTGTAAGACAATTGTCTCCTTTTTGTTCTTATGCCAATACATTTGGTTAACGTATGTCTCAGGCAAACCCTCACGTCTACGCCGGCGCAATCATGGTACATCAAGTCGCCTAACAATGCTACCTCCATCCAGCTCGCATCCACAACACTCTGCATGGATGCAGGGCCGAAGTCTGGCTGGAAAGATATGGCCAACATCTACCTCCGCGAATGCGTTGCTGGGAGTGAACAGCAGACCTGGAACGCCATGGCTGATGGACGTATTGCCCTTGCTGCTAGCAGTGGAACGCAGCAATGCGTCGATCTACAGTATCTGCGTGCTGTGCAGAATAACCCGGTCGGGCTGTATAACTGTGCAGGGCTGGGGAACACCGGGGCGGCTGACAAGGGGATTAATTGGCCTTTGAAGAATGCTACAGTCGTGTAGGCGAATGGAAGGGCGGTTGTACAGCATCTGATGTAGCCTAGGCAGTCGAGGATCTACTTGATTCAATCATCAATGACATGTTCGACGTTGGACATAATCGTTTTGCTCATCTAATTGAATGTACATTGTTCCTCCAGGGATTCGATGGTCTCTCGTCATGAACGGGCTGGCGGGCTCATCAGGCGGACAGCCAAATGCAACATTGTGTGGATCTGACGCCGGCCTGGTCGTCAATGTCGAGAAACTGCATCCGCAATCAGCCAGGCGATGGGGCAAATGCCGTTAATGCGTCATAGTGTCGGAGGGTCGTGAGAACGGACGGAGGGTTGCAGATCAGTCAAGGCGATCTCGGGAAGATGGCGGGGCTGCGCACGAGCCCTCTGTTCCACCTCAGCTTCCGGATGTTCAGTCCGTCCAGAACTTACAACTCAGCCGCCATCACGAGCACCCACAGAAGGCATGCGCCGACATCTTTGTATAGATTCAGAGTATCGTAAGCTATCGAGAATCTCCTGAGCCAAATGCTTACACATTAGCGCCCATAGTATGACACGGTAGACAGATGCTTGAACTGCAAAATCGCGCGCCCATCATCCAACGCCAAACCGCGGAACCTCTCCATGACCATGTCCTTCATTCGCTCCGCCTTTTCACCCTGCAAATGGTAGCCAAACCTGTTCCCTGTGCTATCGTTGCACCAATTCCATAGCGCCTCCACGTTCTCCAGCGTACGCGTGCCAAAACCGCGCGATACCTTCACATCGCCAAACCCAGCGGCGCTTAGATCGCGCTGCATCTGCGCCAGGGTCGAAGGCCATATAAAATTATCTATAGGCTCGCCGAGTTCCGCTAAGACATCATCGCGGACGTCTTGGATGGGTAGATGGAATGCGCCGTCCTGAGTCGCGAGACCAATAGCAGTGCCGGGCTTGGCCAAAGTGGCGGCTTGAGCGAGGAAGAGAGGTTTGTCGCTAAACCAGTGGTATGACATGTTGCAGTGTATGGCATCAAACTTCTGTCCTGCGAACATGGAAAGATCGTGCACGTCGGCGACGTGGAGCTCTACGTAGGGCTTGAGCTCCGGATGTTCCTCCAAGGCCTCGCGTGCCCGCTTGATACTGTATTTGTCTAGATCAAACCCTACGACTTTCCCAGTCGGGCCTACAATTTGCGCAATGTCGAGAACGTCGCTTCCGGGACCACAGGCAGCCACGAGGACGTGTTGGCCTTTGGAGATGTTCATCATTTCTGTCAGGGCATGGCCGTAGCCGCGCTGCATCGTATTCGTGCGGCTGTAGCGATCTGCTGTTGTTTCGGTGGCTGTGCCCCATTTCGTGGGTTCTTCGGCTTGGGTAGCGAGGACGGACATGATGAATAAGATTGTAGGCAGTTCTAAGCAGATGGAAATGGTGATGATTTGGGATTGAAGGTGCAACGGCAAGTCCGGAAGCGCCGAGTACTGTGAAGTTATATGCGTAGGGTATGCTGCGATAAGCACTTACGGGAGAGCAATTGGTTGGCACTTCGTACGAGCCGGCAGATCCTATCGACCTCTACTGCGTGGTCTATACCGAGCGGGGGAGGCCCGAGGATATGCCGTCTCTTGGATCTTCAGTCTGACAGCAACGTCATCCAGATATAGCCGCTTCTAATGCTCCCTTGTAAAAGACCGCAATGGGGCCCGTACAGCTATACACGCCAAGCTTCTGGGTAGGGGGAGGGTTATATACAAGAAGCGGCCTCGGCGTCTCTTTCGCCACCACTCTCGCAATACATACGTGTTTTAGACCTATCAATCGCCACAGTTACAGAAAGACTGCGATGACTGAGGCATTGACTTCGGCATTTAAGGTTGAGCGGCCCAAGACGTATCAGAAAAAGCGTTCCGCGGAGTCTCCGAGCCCAACTACGTTGACATGTGCTTTTTACAGATAGAGTTTGCACTAGTGTGGGACGGCTATATGCCATATCCAACCTTCTTCTCGATATTTGAAACGCGCTGGATTGCAGAGCTTATACTAGTTCGGCGCCTTGAGTTTATTACATATCAACGTCAGTTCTTGTTAAGGCATTTCTCAAACATCTCACTGAGTGATGGGAATAAACCAGCGGATGCATGCTGATATTGTCGCGCATGAGTACAAAATCAACTGTCTTGAGAAAAGATGCTAGCCCGATAAGAACATTTACGTTCACTCTGACGATTAGACTCCAGACCAAAGCGCCAGTAAAGTGTCTCCATGAATATCTCTAAGCTACTCGACCCCAAAACGCCGAGATCATCTTCGCCACCGACGCCGAGATCAATCGCTACCTTCGCCGAGATATTGATCACGGCTTGTCAATCAATAACACCGTAGCCCAGTAAATAAGGTTGTGTACTACCTTCATAACTCTTCTCACCATTCCGACATTTTTACCTTCTTACTCCAATCAAGGGCGAATCTGGTCGCTGAGCCATACAAAGACGCGTGAGTTCATCAGCGAATACATGAGATCCATGATCGTTACTGTATGGAGCCCTTAAGACGTCGAGAAGAAGAGAACTCAAAGCCATTAGTACCCTTCTTAATGTCGCGGATCCGAACGTGACATGTAAGGATAAGATTTACGTATACTTTCTTTTGTATCTCAACTCCATCGGCATCGATAAGGCATCGGAGGCCAGGAGCATGCCCATCTATGTGCTGCAGAAGTCGCTTCCATGATCCTACCTAAGCATTCACGCACACCAAGAAACATAATGCTAAGGTTACCAACATCACACACGCACAAGGCTCTATCTCGATTGTTAACATCGTATCAAACACCAAAAACGCTGTTCACAAACACGCCTCCCACCTATAAGTCTAAATACAAACCATCCCATCGTCCTCAAGACTGACACCACTGACCCGAATCACAAGACCAAACCAGAACCAAAACCCAGCATGTCACTAATCACCATCATCAAAAACCTAGTAGACTCCGTATCCTACAACTGGAATTGCCACCAATGCGGTAGTGATAACGTCGCAAAAGAGCACCCAGCTCAATGCACATCGTGCTCGCATTTTCATTGCTGGAAGTGTGAAAACATCATTCACTAATCTGCGTATGATGTTCGACTCATTCACTTCATTTGCTGTCACAAAGATATATCTCATGACCAGTCTATCCATATGCTAGCTGCGAATACAATTAGCTTTTTCTTGCGCTCAAAGAACCTTGTCTAGAAGACATGTGAATGCTAATGCTTGCACATGAATCACAGAGCGACACTCTTTCCATCAGTCTCGCACAATGCGCGCACACTTTATGAAGCAATACTAGGTATAAAGCGGTGTACTCAATCGAAGTGATACAATGTTCTTGACATTTCTTAGTCCAACGTACCCGATTCTATAAAAGAAAAGTTCTCACTACCCTCAAAGCCTTCTCTCTCTATACCGCCATACATGATCTACCGTTATCACTTAATAACTGCACGATTGTCTGGTACCTTAGTTTGCTTCTCAAGCCATCATCTCTTTCTCACTTACTCGCGAAGAAACGGCTTGCGCATCTGCTTCGACAATACTACCCTCCACTATGCTCATTTGCAATAACTCATTCATCGGGCTACTTGCCGGTCTATCCTGCATCTCGGCAGCTCCTCTAGAAACCTTGGCGAGTGAAAGCACTTCGATAGCGGCACATAACACTAGAAATGTAAGTTCCTTATCCTAGTCTATACGACTGCAAATAACCTTCACTAATCACAAGGTTTAACAGGCCCCTCAATTCTCCCTCCAACTTCTATACAGCGTCTGGGATGAGGATAAATACCTCTACGTCGCCCAACGAGGGAAGCAAGGAATAGCATATGGACCGTGTGGGGGCGACGAAAAGAACAATTCCTTTGAGCTAATCCATTATACAGAATTAGGCAAAGACTCCCGTCCCAACGCCATCGATCATCCTCCGTTTCCCAGTAAAGAAGTAAGTAAACCATCCTTTAACTACTTAAAATATGCTGACCTCGGATGTTTCTTACAGGTTTCATTCCCTATCAAAGTACCCGGCAAAAAGGACTGCCGTTACGAAGGCAATGGCGTCGACGCTGGCCAGATTCGATGTGGAGATGAGTCTGTCGGAAAGTGTGGAGAAGACCCACAGTACGATGAGCCTACGATCAGGTGTTCATGGGGGACAAAGTACCATCGCGGATATGTCTGCGAGTTCTGAGTACCCGTAGACTTGAGTTTGGGCGTTCCGGAATGGGTAGTTAGGAGGCAAGATAGACGTATAGTGGACTGCAGTCATGTGACGAATCCACTGGTGAAGCGTCGCTTATGGTGTTCGTTTGATGGCGGATGTTAATGTAGACAACACACGAGTCTTAGCGTTATTGGAACATTGTGCGCATCGCTCGTGATTGCTGCTCTGGTGATTGCTTCTCTTAACGAGTACCCGATGATTCGTGGTCATACACGCCTGGGAACGTGGAGCTCATAATGTGAAGACGAAAAAGCCGTTGGCTACACGTTGCCAAGCGCGAGACCGGAATAGGAACGAAGGAGAACTGTGGCTCTGTATGGGATGTGACGAGTAGCAAACGAAACTGGATGGGACGGGCCGTAAAGAGGATCATATTTGGAGTGAAGATATGTTTGCGATAGTCAGATCACGCCGGAAAGAGTAAAGTAGTCCGGGCAGCTGTGATACCATCACTTTTGACATGTCGTGCAAACTTGGCGATACCACGGGGTCATGCGTATTGTACAACATGGTAAAGTAGCAATACTTTCGATGCTTGCTGTGCCGGCTACGCGATCTGGTAAAAAGGTCCTCTTAGGGCCTATTACTACGTATAAGAAGGCAGGTGGTAAGATGTTCACGGCTGGCTGTCATCTGACACAGCAATTTCGCGGAAGCCGACATGATCTTCTACCCTTTTCTCCTCCTCTGGGCCAGTCGCTCCCTGGCAATACCGGCCAGCACCACCGAAGTGTCGCATTCGATAGACGACACAAACCAATACATGATCCTGGACGAGCTTGACATACCATCGCGATCACCATTCGTGCCAGGCCTCGTTCCTAGCAGCGGGGAACGGATTCGGAAAAGAGATATCGGTAACAACACAAGGGTCAAAACCGAAGCGCCTTCCGACGCAAGCGCTTCAGACAACGCCTCGCAAGTCCAGCAACCAGCGGCCAAAGACCAGCTCACAGCTCTCGCCGAAATCATTCTGTTCCCAAGGACTTGCGAGATTGATCAGCAGTACCAAGTCCTTGCGATGGCCGAAATGTTCGTAAACGTCGGTGTCGTTCAAGCTGACCTGGAAGGGAGCATACGCCGGAGCTCGTTCATGTGGGGCGAAGATGTTCCGGGCAAAGAGTATATAACCACGTGGATGTATGTGGATATACTGGACGATGGGCCGTTAGTGACGTCCGATCTGATAGAGAACATGTTCTATCTGATGATATATGATGAATCTTGCTATGCTACACCAGGCCAGACCAGAGGCGGCAGACTGCGGGCGGTGCATGCGCGTACGGGTAACGAGCTTGCCAATGTAGTCATCAATGCGGTGGACTCTAGAGACGCGTAGTATTAGGCGATGGATCGCGTGGAATGGAAAGGCTCTTTAATCCTATTTCACCTTCAAGTCTTTCAGATGCGTATCCGGATCCGCATCCACAACATACTCGTCCAATTGGACCAAGCCAAGTAGAGCCTCGTCGTCGACAACGTCTGTGACTGCTGGTCTCTTTTCTGTTTGTTGGCTACGAGCTGCCTTCAGCTTCAAGATTGTCTCTTCATTGTATTTCTTGAAAGCCTTGGGGTTCTTCTTCTCCCTATGCGGATCATGCGACTCGCTCTTGAACTGGTATCCTCTAACCCGTGGACCTTGGCCAGACTTCTCGGGAAGCGTAGGTTCGTAATAGGCCTCGAAAGCAGCGATGTCGGCGTCGAAGGTATTCGCTTCGATGGAGGCGCGAATGCCGGCGAAGAAGGCCGATAGAATGGCGTGGTTGTGTAGCTGAATGAGTACCCAGCCAAGCATTTCCTTGGCAGCGAGCAGGTGCTGGAGGAAGGCGCGATGATGCTTTGTGCACGCGTAGCATGTACAGCCTTTGGATAGCGGGGCAACGGACAAAGCATGCTCACCGCTCCACATGTCGATGCCTAGCGAGCGGCGCGCGCCTGTGCTGACGTCTCCGACGGGCGCTGGGAAGGTGAAGTCGAGGACGATACCCGCGTCGGTCGCGTCGGCGAGGAAGGGCACGGTGAAGACATCCACGCCCATGCGCACGTGGCGGAGAAGCTCCTGTGGGCTGGCAGGGACGTGGAAGGATAGCCGTGGGAGGTGATGCAGCTGGTCGGGTAGTTCATCGAGTAGATAGGCGTCGTAGATGGCGAGGCCGCTGATCTTGTCCACCATGTCGTCTAGCAGATGATCCAAATACCATGACTGTAGGTGGCGCTCGATGGGCAAGATGGGCGCAAAGATGCTCCATGCTTTCTCGCCTTCGTCGACAGTGCCCTGCTTGGCTACCATGTCACGCAGCCACACCTCGGTCCTGTCGCTCATCCGGTCTTTCCGCTTGAGACTGATGGCCTCCTGCCCGACTGGTATATCACCCAATCCGACCACGATGTCTGGTTGCAGCTTCCGTGCTGCGGCGGCATAGTACTCGGAGCTGAGAGTCGTGAAGCCGACCGACGTCAGGAGGCGTATCTCGGTGTCTGTGTTCCCGTGAGGGCTAGCGATGGGCGGATTGCGACGCGCACCCAGGACGAGGAGCGTGTCTTCGGGGAGGGCGATGAACTTGCGCAACGGCTCAGGCACGTCATACTGGAAGACTGGCGGAGTCTTGTGCGGGCGCTTCTCGACGACTGCATGCTGTTAACGGTGCTTGGTGGCACATATGACGGAGGGTACGCACAGTCCTCGAGCGCGACGTAGACCCCGCCAACATCGGCGCTCCGTCGGAAGTTGTCCTGCGATACATGGGGTATGACGCCTCTGGATGTGTTGCCAATAAAGGCGGGTGTAAGGATACTCTTGCGTCCCGGGAACGACAGGCGGCCGAGTCGCGGCGCAAGCGAGCCTGACGTCTTGAGGAGCGTGAAATCCAGCATTTCAGCCGGCAGTTGACCAAGTCTTCTCGTCGAGACCCCGTCAGACATGGTAACACTGAAGATCTGACTGTTCAATGTCTAAAGCTTTCTCTCGGTCCACACATCAAGCAATAGCTGTCGTATACTACTCCGAATGTCGTTGCCTATGGTGGGGCGTCCATGTTCCTGACGACTCATCGTCGAAAATGTGGATGCGTGCACGTGCAAGCGTGTCAAACCGCGTCAGGCGTCCGACTACCTCTGAATTCTACATCTGTCCTCAATGTTCCTATAACATAATGGCGGAATCCTCTTATCATCGCATCAGAGGTGGTCATGGATCGCTGAAGCCGCCTTCCACAGCGATTGCCCATGTCTTCACCAATGACCAAGCACGACCACGATGAGCCACTTCGCCAGACTCTACGCGACTCTACCACGAGGAAACGATATCAGGACCCATTAGTCGTGTTCTTTGTAGTTCTCATCGCTTTCCTGGGCTTCTGCCGCATCTACAACCCTTCCGCTACCATAAGCTCACCATCGCCTCACGACAATGACGTCGATATTCAGGTCTTCGAGACTTACAATGAAGACCAACTTCAGGAAGTTGCTGGCTTGATGGACGAAATCTACACCATACTAGCAAATACCTCTTTCATCCCGCATGACTCTATCAAGCGTGGCCCACACCAAATCAATTCTACAGCCAGTCCCTGCAGGCGCGATGCAGCCGACCTGCGCTTAATGGAGATCCTCCCATATGTCGACGCCCCACTACTCGACGATGACCATTGGTTATGGGGTGGTACTTTCTTCGATTTCCGGGTAGATAAATTCTTGGGCTACGGCTGTGATCCTGACGAAGTAGACAAAGACCCTTCATTCCTCATGCGGCCAGGAACGGTCCACCTAACCAATGGCGGCTGGGATGGCTGGGATCTCTACAGGAGTTGGCAACTCCAATATGACACTAGGAAGAATACAATCAGGGTCTACGAAGGAGAAGAGAGGAGCGATTACCAGCCACAAGTCAATGGGTGCTTGGTTCAATTCCGAGATCCATACAAGAGCGAACAGTACAGATCTGGTCGTAGATGGGAAGACACCCCTGTCATTGGAGCGATTAACTCAACGCGAATTCTCTCGGTGAACAGGCACAGCCGTGATTGGACGAGATGGACCGATGCGCCAACCTTCTTGAGGAGGATCAGAGACGCATATCGGAGCACAGCATGGACACCATGGGTGGCCGCGAACCCCGCTGATCGACCCGCTGATCCGCGCGTTCTTCCGCCGTCCCATAACATCACATCATCGCTTCTGATCAAGAACGGTTGGCCCGAAAAGCTTGACATCGATCAGTTTCGGGCTGACTTCATCCGGGCCCAGCACAAGCCGTCAGGACGAGGCTGGGCCGAAGGTGCTTTCCAACAGATCAGAAGTCACCAGGATGATCCAGATGATCCAGCCAACATCTACTACACCAAGAGAATTCTACAAAGATGTCAGGATCATGAGCTTAACGAGCAGATCGAATGCTCCACTGGAAAATTGAACAGGATGATGATGGAGGCGGAAACAGCAAAGAATAAAATCGAACAACACGACAATGATTACGAAGAAGCGAAACGGCAAATACAGAGGCTGTGTCCAGACGGCATCTGTGTCGAGGAAGAGGATCTGATTCTTTGGGAGTTCAGAGCACTAGAACAGACATATGCAGAGGCACAGCTCAAACCCGACGCTAAGACACTGTGCGAACGCCGCCCTTGGAGGCTGGACGAAAGGTTTTATGACGGACATTTGTCGTCAGATCAGCACGCAAGTTGTGTCACCCGACTCAACTTGGAGAGACACTGGTTAGAGTTGGCATACCAACAGTCCCGCGCCGATGCCCTCGCTCATTGCGCTCGAAGCAACAAGGATCTCCTCCCCCCTGCCTCATTCGAGACCATCGCGAGTATCTACATTGCCGATTATGAAAGTAAATATTACGGGTGGAAGATGGAGGATATCAAAAAGGCTTTGTCTGGTGACATTGGCGATGAAGCCCTTCTAGAGGTCTGGAGCCGATTAGAGGTTCTGGAGGAGCCTCGTTCTTTGTCTGATGA